TAAAAGTGCTACTTCAGTGAACACATAAATGATAAGAAAGTGAAACAGTCTTATTGCTGATATAGAGAAAGTGTTAGTGTCTAGATAGCCAAAGCCCTTAAGCCAAAGCCTAATCCAGAGCAAGGCCCTAACTCTCTTCAATTCTATGAAGGCTGAGAAAGGTGAAGAAGCTGCAGAAGAAGAGTTTGAAGCTAGCAGAGATTGGTTCATGAGGTTTAAGGAATGAAGCCATCTCCATAACATAAAAATGCAAGGTGAAGCATCAAGTGCTGATGTAGAAACCACAGCAAGTTATCCAGAAGATCTACCTAAGGTAATTGATGAAGGTGGCTACACTAAACAATAGGTTTTCAAGGTAGATGAAATAGCCTCATGTTGGAAGAAGATGCCATCCTAGGATTTTCGTAGCTGGAGAGAAGTCAATGCCTGGCTTCAAAGCTTCAAAGGATAGGCTGACTCTCTTGTTCGGGGCTAATGCAGTTGGTGACTGTAAGTTGAAGCCAATGCTCATTTACCACTCTGAAAATCCTAGGGCCCTTAAGAATTATGTGAAATCTATTCTGCCTGTGCTCTATAAATGGAACAACAAAGTCTGAGTGACAGCACATCTGTCTACAACATAGTTTCCTGAATATTTTAAGCCCACTGTTGAGACCTACTGCTCAGAAAAAAAGATTCCTTTCAAAATACTACTGCTCTTTGACAATGCACCTGGTCACTCAATAGCTCTAATGGAGATGTACGAGGAGATTAATGTTGTTTTCATTCCTGCTAACACAAAATCCATTCTGCAGCCCATGGGTCAAGGAGTAATTTTGACTTTCAAGTCTTATTATTTAAGAAATAGATTTCATAAGACTATAGCTGCCACGGAGCCCTGGTAGCACAGTGGTTAAGAGCTTGGCTGCTAACCAAAGGTCAACAGTTTGAATCTACCAGTCTCTCCTTGGAAACCCTATGGGGCAGTTCTACTCTGTCCTATAGGGTCACTATGAGTTGGAATAGACTCGATGGCAATGGGTTTGGTTTATAGCTACCATAGACAGTGATTCCTCTGATGGATCTGAGCAAGGTGAATTGAAAACCTTCTGGAAAGGGTTCACCATTAAGAACGTTCTTGATTCATGGGAGGAGGTCAAAATATCAACATTAAGAGGAGTTTGGAAGAAGTTGATTCCAACCCTCCTGGATGACTTTGAGGGGTTCAAGACTTCAGTGGAGGAAGTAACTGCAAGTGTGATGGAAATAGCAAGAGAACTAGAATTGGAAGTGGAGGCTGAAGATGTGACTTAATTGCTGCAATCTCATAATAAAACTTTAACGGATGAGGAGTTGCTGCTTATGGATGAGCAAAGAAAGTGGTTTCTTGAGATGGAATCTACTCCTGGTTAAGACGCTGTGAACATTGTTGAAATGACAACAAAGAATTTAGAATAGTACATAAACTTAGATGATAAAGCAGCGGCAGAGTTTGAGGGGATTGACTCCAATTTTGAAAGTAGTTCTACTGTGAGTAAAATGCTATCAAACAGCATTGCATGCTACAGAGAAATCTTTCGTGAAAGAAAGTCAATCAATGCGGCAAACTTCAATGTTGTCTTATTTTAAGAAATTGCCACAGCGACCCCAACCTTCAGCAACTACCACCCTGATCAGTCAACAGCCATCAACATGGAGGCAAGACCCTCCACCAGCAAAAAGATTACAACTCATTGAAGGCTTAGGTGATGGTTAGCCTTTTTTACTAATAAAGTATTTTTTAATTAAGCTATATACTTTTTTTTTTGCAGACGTAATCCTATTGCACATTTAATAGACTACAATATAGTGTAAACTTAACTTTTATACGCACTGGGAAAACAAAAAAAATTTGTGTGCCTTGTTTTGTTGCAATATTCACTTTATTGTGGTGGTCTGGGACTGAACTCACAGTATCTCTGAGGTATGCCTGTAATATAATAGGGTTAGAAGATATACCCAGCTTACTATCATATGATAGACAAGTAGTTGTCATGTAACCTATCAGTCACCTCATTCAATCTTTACTTTCTTGTCTTCTTGGAGGTAAATTTTATATTTTGTCTTCTATCCTAGTGCTCTGCTAAGTCCCACTCACTGCTTCTTCCACCACATAGCCATGTACCTACCTTTACCTGCCCACAGGTGTGAGAGAGACAGTGAGAAAAGGAGATCTGAACTTCTGCATAGATAGAGTATCCCTGGGTACAGAACATAAGAAAAGAGAATGGAAAAGGTAGACTGAGAGTAAAAATCTGTCCTTGCCCCTTTGAGCTTCTGATGCTGCCAGCATTCCTTAGCTTCTGGCCACATCACTCAATCTCTGCCTCCATGACCTCATTGCCTTCTCTTCTGTGTGTGTCAGATATCCCTATGATTCCCTCTTATAAGGACATGTGTGAGGGTATTGAGGGCCCACCCAGAAAATCCAAGATAATCTTTTCAAATCAATATGGTATGAACATAAGGACAGACAAATAGATCAATAGTACAGAATAGAGAGTCTAGCAGTAAATATATGTTATAGTGTAAGATGATTTTTGAATATTTTCATGACCTAAGTTAGGCAAAGACTTCTATTTTGGGAGCCATTATTCAGCCTACTACATAAATCTTGCTTGGGATGGTTGCAATACAGGTGTACGTGTCTATGAAAACTCATCCAATGTACCTTTAAGATCTGTACATTTTATTATATGAAAATTATTCCTTAATAAATAAGTATTAGGAGAAAAAAGAGAATTAGACATTCAAATGTCCTGGGATATTTATGTTTTGTTTTAAGTAAGTTTTTTTTTAAATCTCTTGTCTGGTTGCAGGTAGTCAGCATGTGGGTTGACAAGCAGGAGATGGATTGTTCCATTCTTTATTTTGCAAATAACACATCACTTTTCAGCCTCATGACCCCTCCCAGCCTCCACTTCCTCTGCAGGATTCCACAGGGTACAGTGTTTCCTTTCCTGACTCTGGGAATATCCTCCACATGCACTACTCTGACCATTTTTCGTCTCACGGATTTTTCTTGATATCTCTCCTCTGTTCATCCCTACCATTCTCTTTGTCATTGTAAATTCAATCCCTTTATTATCATTTTAGTGGGATCTTTAATGAAAGGAAAGAAAAATGCTTCTCTTCAGTCTACAATCTTTACTGAGAAACTTTTTTTACAGGAATTCAACACAGTAATGTGACAGGGTTGCTTCCTTTCACCATACCTGTATGCTGAGCAAATAATCTGAGAAGCTGGACTATATGAAGAAGAACGGGGCATCAGGATTGGAGGAAGACTCATTAACAACCTGTGATATGCAGATGACACAACCTTTGCTTGCTGAAAGTGAAGAGGACTTGAAGCACTTACTGGTGAAGATCAAAGACCATATCCTTCAGTATGGATTGCACCTCAACATAAAGAAAACAAAAATCCTCACAGTTGGACCAATAACCAACATCATGATAAACAGAGAAAAGATTGAAGTTGTCAAGGCCTTCATTTTACTTGCATCCACAGTCAATACCCATGGAAGCAGCAGTCAAGAGATCAAAAGACGCATTGCATTGGGCAATCTGCTGCAAAAGACCTCTTTAAAGTGTTGAAAAGTAAAGATGTCACCTTGAAGACTGAGGTGTGCCTGACCCAAACCATGGTATTTTCAATCGCCTCATATGCATGAGAAAGCTGGACAATGAATAAGGAAAACTGAAGAATTGACACCTTTGAATTGTGGCGTTGGCAAAGAATATTGAATATACCATGAACTGCCAAAAGAACAAACAAATCTGTCTTGGAAGAAGTACAATCAGAATGCTCCTTAGAAGCAAGGATGGCCAAGACTACATCTTACATACTTTGGACATGCTGTCAGGAGGGACCAGTCCCTGGAGAAGGACATCATGCTTAGTAAAGCACAGGGTCAGCGAAAAAGAGGAAGACCCTCAAAGAGATGGACTGACACAATGGCTGCAACAATGGGCTCAAGCATAACAATGATTGTGAGCATGGTGCAGGACCGGGCAGTGTTTCGTTCTGTGGTGCATAGGGTCGCTATGAGTCAGAACCCACTCGATGGCACCTAACAACAACAACAGTGTGACATTATTGTTCCCTGATGCATATTAGGAACTGGGAAGTGCCAATAAGTTCTACTCTGGTTTGACAAAGAAAGCTTATGAGTCTTTCTAAATTTTAGGAATACAGAAATGGTGATTAAAACATTATTACCAGAGCAACAAAATTATCAAGAACCAGAATTACAGACCCAGGTTTAAAATTACTTTCACGGGAAACAGCAGCAATTTCTGAAATCCAAATGCCTAAAAAGACTCATTATATATATAACAATGGCACAGGACAGATTTATATTACACAAAGCAGAACCAAGTATCCCAGGAAAAAGCAATTGATATACTTGTGAAATTTTCAATTTATACCTTGTTATATCATTATCACTATTAAACCACATCCTATTGTTTATGAGCTAGTTTTGTGATCCAGGGTGGTATTGCTGTTTTGGCAGCTACAGGTCAGAGAGAGGACATCTTGTTTTTTATTTACTGAGGTTTACTTTCTCTTAATTGTGAATCAGAACTTTCATTATCAAGGTTAAATTCTATTAGTATTCCATTGTTTGAATTTCACTATGTATGACCTATTTATTTCATCTCAGTTTTATAGGAATTAAAAATGTTTTGAATTAAAACAATTTTTCAGATGTGTTTAGGTGAAGATATCTTTACAATGGTCTTGATTGGGACAGACTAAACTTTTTCAGTACTATATATAAGTCTTTTTTAAACTCCATGCTCTGTTCTATTGTATCTTGGATTATTACTTCAATTCCATTTATTCTGGTCTCTAGTCAGGACCACTTACTTCATACACGTTGGTTCTTCACAGACTATCGTTCATGTAAAAATCTTACAGCCTCTACAAGTACCTTGGAAACTTGATGACCATTTTCGTGTGATATCTTTTTTCCCAGGATGTCCATTGTCAACCAGGACAGAGATAGGAGACTTGTCTATGAGACTGTATTCAGTCACTACAGAAAACATAAGGTGGATATGGCAAATGCAATAAAAAAACCATTTCCTTTCCTTGAGGGCCTCCGAGACCGTGATTTCATCTCCAATAAAATGTATCAAGTAAGTAAAATTGATAAAGTTATAACCTAGTAAACTAGTCCCAAACTAAGTTATGTTTTCATATTCTGGATCCAAACTTCAGAGCACAACTAACTGGCTGAGGAGCCTCCTGTGAGTGGTGGGGAGCTTTTCTGTAAATATTCCTGTAAGGTAAAAAGTGAGAGAAAAAGTAGGCATCACCAGAGATGTTCCTCCTTCTCACTGAAGGAATTGTCTTCCACAGTGCCTAATGGAGCAGAAGTGAATAGCACTAGAGATAGGCTGGGTCAGAAGCAGGTATGTTTCATACATATGTAATGTCTTACAGGAGTTTATGCAATAAAGGCTAAATTAAAATTTAAAAAGTAAAAGAATTGGCTCAGAATTTCATTTCAATTAATGTCAACTTAAAATGCTTAGATCTGAGAACATTAAAACCCACAGGAAACTGGTGTCTTGTTATTTTGGGAGCAGATGCTTGCTATTTTCCTTGCAGATTCTTTCTCCAATGGCTTTCAGTTTCCTGTTTCTTTCCTTTCTTTCTTTCTTTTTTTTTTGGCATTTCCAGAGTCTTGAAACTTGGGTAAATTTTAGCAGTAGTCCTTCTTGGAGATACAGAAGAGCAAGTCTTCTCTTTGCCCTATAAGTATGCTTTTCCTATGGCCAAGTTCACTGCAGGGAGGGGCTGGCCACCTGGTTTCCCAGAGGCCTACTGGGCTAGTGAGTCCTGGCAGAAGGGCAGTATGGTCCAGTAAACAGAATGGCCACTCATCACCTGCTAAGACTATTCCTAAAACGTCTTGGCCAGGCTCTTAAAGGACTACACGTCATTTAACTTTGAACTCACTTTCATGCTTCCGAATATTCCTTCTTACCGTTAATGTAAACGAGAGTGAGGAAATCAAACTCATAAATAAATATATTTTAAGGAGGAAGAATTCACTTGTTTCATTTAGTATACATACAAACGTATAGAGATTCTAAAATGTCACATGAGAAGGTACCCACCTTGGGAAATTAGAATACATTATTCATCAAATTACTTTCTAGGGCTCTTTTGTAATTTGGATTCCTGTATTTATATTTTCTCCATTCAATATTTTTTAAGGATTCTGAGGAGTCTTGTAGAAACTTGGTCCCTATACAAAGAGTGGTGTACAATGTTCTTGATAAACTGGAGAAGACATTTGACCTGGCACTTCTGGAAGCATTGTTCAGCGAGGTCAACATGAAGGAATACCCTGAATTAATTTGCATTTGCAGAAGCTTCAAAAATGGTAATCAGATTTATCACCCACCTTTCAAGGTCCAGGGTCATTTATTTCTCTTCTTTATTGAGCTCCTACCTTGGGCCACACACTGTGCTGGACTGTGGGACAAAATCTTTAACAAAACTTATGTCATGAGCATTCTTGCAGCTTATGGGATAATGGCTTATGGTTCAACACCCACCAGGCCTGTTTAACTAGGCATTTAGACTCACAAGACAACCAGAGCCATACTGGCATCAGCTTTACTTATAAGGACAAAGGACAGGAAACACAGCTTACCAGCAGGGCAGCATCGGTGTCCCTTTTCACTAGGAGTCCTTGAAATGGTCCATACAGCAGTCCACCAAGTTACCAAGTGACAGCTTAGCTGTGGGTGCGGGATCCACCTTGGCTGACGCTGCACCCACCTCATCCACCTGCTACCCGGAAGCTGCGGGTCAGTGGCCAGAAGTCATGGTGCGGGGAGCTGTGGTCCACCCTCTCCCGTAGCCCCTCATGCACCTCTACCCCTTGGTGGAGAAGTTCCCCCAACCCTCACTGAAACACCCGCATGCAGGCCTCCCTTACCTTTTCTGGGCTTTTGGGCCCATTTGTTTCTCTCATAGCTTCCACCTAATTTGGCCAGGATTTGAACTCATGATCTAGGGGTGACAAAGCATGTATTGTTCTCACAATCTTTTCCATCTTCACCTCCCAGCAAGAACTGCCCCCAGGAGGTGCTCTGGCCATCACGTGCTCCCTCCATCCCGCTGTCTCTCTTAGTGGGTCTCCTGCTTCTTCTACTTTCCCACAGGGACCTAGCCCTCCCCTTCTTGGTTTATCTCCGTTAGAGCTCTGGGAGTCTGGCTTCCTCCCTATATTTGCTGGGTTACCATAAATGCAGGTACCCTGGGCTGGTGGTGTCCTGGCCTCTCCTCGTGGATAGCCAGCCTCTCGGGTCCTGGTGCCAGTGTCGCGGGTGGGGGAGTCCTCCAGCTCCCACAGTGGTCACTCCCTATTTGTAGCTTTCACTGAGCGTCTTTCCTTTGTTCCTCAGATGTGGGCCACTCCCAAGGAAGTCTGTCTAGGTCCTCTTCCTTGTCCTCTGTTATGGCTATTTGGAAACTGGTCATCCTCACTGACTCAATTAAGCCCAAATCCTCCTCTTTTCTAGACTCATTTTTTAAAACTGTTGGGACTTTCTCTGTTACATGGGCTGATTTCTCTATGATCTCAGCCCTTGTCCCTAGGAAATCCCTCTGTTTCTTTCTTAGTTTGAACAACCCAAAAAACACATTTCACTTCTGTTATTTATTTTGATATATGTTTCCCAGCCATCTGATAATTTTTTAGATGAGCAAATACTGCATATAATGTTCCCACTGCTCCTTTATTCTTAAATCTTTAGGGGCAACTTTCTGTATGGGAGACATAATGGATCTCAGTTGAAGTGTTCCCTTGGTTGTCCCAAGGAGTGATAGGAGAACTTGAGGTCATGTGAGACCCTCTGAGCTCTGAGTGACCCAGGAGCTGGAAGAGCCCAAATCTGTGATTATGAAATGTTGTCCTTGGTCTCTGCTGAGATCTCTAATTGTCTTTTTCTCCCTCTCTTTAGCGATCGAAGAGATATCTAATCCCCAAGAACAAGAGGAAAAAGAGAAGCTTAACAGCCAACCAAGACTTGAGCAAGGTAATTCTATCTGGATAAAAGCTATTTTCTTGTCTATTAAGAGGGCAAGGATCCAAGAGACCTAGGGACCCAGTTACGGACTGGAGATTTTGAATCAAGGAAGAAATGCTGAGGGACACGGAAAAGGCAGGGAGGCCTAGGAGCTGTATGAACTTCTAACTAGATGTGGAGCTGCAGAGCAGGAGACTATTGGCCCAATAACCAAGATGAAGGAAGAGGAACCCCGAGTGTCAGTGACCAAGATTTAAGGTTTATACTGGAAGTAATTATAATTTAGAAAAGTCACTATAAAGCTGTGAAAGGTCAAAAACTATGGCGCATGGTCAATATCAAAGAGGAGACCCTCGGTGATGGCAGAAGAAAAGACTGATTTAAATGTGGGTGTTGTTGGTTTAAGAGCAGGAAGACTCAGAGGCAAAGGCAGTCATGTAGAGAGACAAAGAATGAAGTGGCAGACATGTGTGGAGGAGGATACGGAAACTTTGAGAGAGGAAGAAGGAGGGGAAGTGAAAGACAAAGGGGAAAGAAGTAAAAGACTGTAATCAAGATAGCCATATCACTAACAGATCACTTTTATTGCACGTTTACTCTGCGGTGGTTGTGGATTCAGTGCTCACAGCTGCCGTTTGGGGTTATTATTACTTACATGCCCATTTGACAAATAAGGAAACAGAAATCTAGAGAGATCATGTACGTGATTTACCTGTGAAAAAACGCACTGACGTCAAGTCTGACTCATAGCGACTGTATATGACAGTAGAACTGCCCCATAGGGTTTTCAAGGCTCTAAACCTTTACAGAAGCAGACAACCACATCTTTTTCCTGCGGAGAGGCTGGTGAGTTTGAACCACCGACCTTAACCACTTAACCACTACATCACCAGGACTCCTTCCATATGTGATTTACCTAAGGTCAAATGGGCAAAGACTAATCCAGGCATTCTTAACCCTGCACTGCTACTTAGGTAGTCTAATAGAAAAGACAAAAACATGAAACAAAAATGGGGAAATACTTCTAGAGAGAGAAATATACAGATAAAAAGATAGAGTAAGATAAAACAGCATGTGTGCTACTGTTACATGAGAAACTATCTGTTCTGTAAGCCTTCACCTGAAGTACAATAAAATATTAAAAAAAAAAAAAAAAGATATAGTAAGAGCTGGAGGAAGTGGAGCATCAGACACTGAAATCCTCACAGAAAGGACAAAGGAAGAAGAGCGAATATGAATAGGGAGGGTGTGATATAAAAGGGAGGTACAGAGGAGACAACAGGACTTTGAGGAACTAAGGTGAAGCCACAGGACAGGGGTAGCTCCAGGGGTGAAAGCAGGTTCACTTTAGTGAGGGCGTCAGGATAAGCCAGTGCCCCGTGGAGGACACTCATGGGAGCTGGCCTGACGAGGCCCTCAGCCAAGGGTGCAGCTGACTCAGTCTCCCCACTCTAGACGCTGGAGTCTGACTGCAAGAGACAGATGGACTCCACCAGATCCAGACAGGGTCTGTATCAATAAAGGAGGGGGTCTGTAACTCCTATGTTATCAAGACTAAAAAATGGAATTAAGTTAAAATGATGGAACCTACTTCAATGTCTGAAATTAACTTCTAATTTCTGCCCCCCTGGAACTGGTGAAAATTTTCACCGAAGCCTGCCCTGGCTGCGTGCAGGTCCCTCATCTCATATTGGTCTGTTCTTCTTGACTCTATTCTATGATTCTTAGCTGTCTTGTCCCATTCTGGAATGTGCTGGGGGATACCTCTTTGTATATTGATTGCCCGGAAGTTTCAGTCTTTGTATCTGCAAGTTCTCCAAGTTAAGGAGAAACAAGGTCTTTATCCTCTGGGTTGCTAAGGAAGATTACTGCTTCCCTAACTCCTCAAACACATCTGCTGCCACATCTGGATGCCTCTGGGGCTGCACTTTCCCCAGGGGCCTGGCTTTTCAGTTTGCTGCCTCTGTCTTGCTTGAATCTGGCTGCTACCTTGGTGCTTTGACATTGTGTCCAGTGGTGACCAATACTGGGGTCATGGAGGGGAGATCAAGGGAGCGATGAGAGCATCCCTGCTGTGGGGGCCGTCACACAGGAGAATGAACACCACCATGCCTCCCATACAACCCCATCACCCATCAACCCTGGGCGTCAGGCCAGGAGCTACCCTCAAAACACCTGATGGGCCTCCACAAAGACCTTTTGGTCATTTAGTAACCAATAACCTCTGCTTACAACACTTGCTCTTTCATTAATCCATTATTCTATTAATAATACAGTTTTAAATTATTTAAAATAAATTTCCAATTGAAGACATTCATTCTAATGATTTTATTTTTCTGATCACAGATCATACTTTACATGTAATATCTCATTTAATCATCCCCCAAATTTTAACGTGGCAGCCTATCACCCCCATTTTTCAGAGGGGGAAGAGTCAGCTTAGAAGGTTTGGTGATTTGTACAAATTCGCCAGGTAAGAATTAGGACTTAACTGTGCTGTAAGGTAGCAGTGGAGCATGAATTCTGGTGACCCTCTGCCTGGGTTCAAATTCTGCCCTTCTGATCTTGGGCAAGTCGCATCTCCTCTTTGAACCTCAGTTTCATCCCCTATGATGTGGATGTGATAATAGTACCTATGTCACAGGATTGATAAATTTTTTAAGTAAGTTGTGTTGTGGAAAGCACTCATAATCATGCCTGGTACTTCACCCTTGTTATGTGCATTTGTTATTATTACTACATTTAATTATCCTTATTTATTTGTATCTGTCTCTGGAATTTGACCATTACAGTAAACTCAGGGATTTTCTTCTCTGTTTATTTATTTATTATGGATAAAATTATTCCCCAGACTAGAGAAGTAGTGATAGAAGCAATATCAACCTTGAGCCCAAGAACTTAAAGTGAGCGCCATAGGGGTTCCCCACCCATAAACACACTGGTCTATAATAAATTTTATGTCTTTACCCATGATTCTCATTTGGGAATAAAGGAGTCAAAGAGACCTTCCAGCACAGTGGAAGGCCATCATTATGTAAGTCTCAAATAGAATGTGTTATTTAAGAAAGACTGTTTTAAATTAGTGATAAATTTTTATCAGGAGCCCTGGTTGGGCAATGACTAAGTACTTTGCTGCTAATCAAAAGGTTGATAGTTGGAACCCACCCTGTGGCACCACAGGAGAAAGACCTGGTGGTCTGCCCCCATAGATTACAGCCTAGAAAACCCTATGAGACAGTTCCGCTTTGTCACCTGGGCTGTCTATCAGATGAAACTGACTCACTGGCACCCAATAACAACAATACACTTTTATAAAAGAAAAAAGACTTTCAGAGTGGTTTGTAAAAGCATAGGTATACTTTTAAAGCTCACTTCTATTGAAAACAAATGAACACTCAAAAAGTCTTTTAAAACACCAAATGCATGAATAGCTATTCATCTTAGCTGTTCATCTGCTAGTGCAGATAGTGGGCACAGAAAGGATGAGCGGATGAGACGGTGATTAATAATGAGCAGAGAAGAGGTGCAGTGTATGGGGGCGGGGGACAAATAAATTCCTTATAACTCACAATGTGGTCGAGGGGTAATCCCACCTGGAATCTTGGAGCATCTCAGTGACGGGGAGGGGATGCATATAAAGAAAGTTCCACCTGCGACTCAAATGATGCACAAAGAGCACAATAAGCCACCAGTGAATGTGTCCAAGAGCCTGAAACAGCAGGGACAGCTGACTGTGACATGCACAGGTGGGATAAGGGCCGTGTCTCATGCCCAGGACTCAAAGAGGAGGCCCCAGGAAGTATGGATGGTGGCTGAAAATAAAAATGCATCAGGGCCCAAATTCTGTATTAAAACTTTTGGAAGTATTTTCTTAAATCATACATGAAATAAATCATTTTATTTAGAAAAATGTCAAATAAAAATAAAATCTAAACTACATTGAAAAATATATTTGGCGATTCACATACTGTTGAGGTTAGTAGGAAGAGTGAGATGGTTACATGGAATTGATCATGAGCAGAGGAAGTTCACCCCCGGGGAAGACGGGAAGTGTGTTGGTCCTGGGCTTGTTTGCCATTGGATTCGTTCCTTCCCCTTCCCCTGCTCTGTCCTGCTGGGTACCTGTAGATGCTGACCCCTGCATGCTTGCTTCCCAGTTTCCCTTGCTAGCTGGCTTCCTGCTCCATTCCTGCAATGGGAGACACTAGCTAGAGATTAAGGGTGAGAGGAAGGGAGAAGCCGAGATATTTCCCCCATCCCTCCCTGCCCCAGGCAGCAGTTCTGGCAGTGGAAGCTTCTCTTCCATAGCTCCCCCTCCTACCGTACAGACCAGCCATGGTTCTAGCTTCTACCCACTCAGTGACCTCCCCCCACCTCTAGACCCTGTGCACACCCTCGGTCCTTCTTGCAGCTTTCTGTTGACCCTTCTCTGGGTTGCCCTACTCTACCGTGTGGACTTCTCAGCTCATCCACCACCTGTATAACCAATGCCTTGGGTTAAATTCTTTCTGCTTTAAATGCTTAGACTGGTTTAAACTTTCCTTTGGACCATGATTGATACAGGTAGCAAATAACATATGAATCAAAATGTGGTTTAGATACAACCCCACCTGAAAACGGACGCTCAGAACATTGCTGTGAAACAGAACAGATCAATGCAGAGAGAAAAGATCCAACCAGTGATGAAAATGATGCACCAGGAAGCCAACAAGCCAACCAAAGATGTGCCCAAGAGTCTGAGCCAGCAGGTAAGACCGTGTGTGTGTTCGCATGGGGGTGAGGGGCCAAAGGGCCCTGGCTGGTGGCAAAGGAATGGAATCATGCACCGTGCAAGGAGACACCTATTTAACAAAGAAGGGAAATTTCACAGAGACACAAGAGTAGGAATGGAACATGGTATATGGGATAGGAGAGACCTGAAGGAACAAAGTTGGAAGAAAAAAACTGAAAGACAAAGAGGGAAAGGTACAGAATATCACTGAGGGTAAAAGGCAAATGCTTCTCCTAGACCTGAGGAGAGAAGCTACAGAATGAAAGAAGCACAAACACTTTCACGTGGTAGTGGTGGCAATGGACGGGGATAGGGCTATAAGTAGAAACATGAGAAGGAGGACGAGGTGTGAGGAAATGGAAATAGTGGCAGAGCAAGGCTCTGTTGGATCTCAGCTGTGGTTTTTTTATCTTCAGGGTCTTCTGAACAAATATCTCTCCAAGTGAATAATGGAGATGCAAGACAGGAGGTGTCCAGCCCATTGCCCAGTAATGAAGAAAGTAATTATTATTTACATTACCAATTTTCTAATTCTATCTTTGTTTTACTATGAAAGAAAAAGCTTTCCTTTGTTCTCCCATACTAACTGCTTCCCCCCTTGCCCTGTTGTTGTTAGCTGCCATCGAGTCAATTACGACTCTTGGGGGAGTCCCTGGGTAGTGCAAATCTTTAAGCACTGGACTACTAACTGAAGGGTTGGTGGTTCAAACCCACCCAGAAGTGCCTTGGAAGAAGAGCAGGTAAAGACAGAAGTAAAAAAAGAAAAAAGAAAAAGAAAAAGCCAGAGTTAAGAGAGGCACAAAAGAAGGTACAGAGTGAAGTGGCCAGTAAAAGACAGGGGTCGGGGGTGAAGCATTATCCACTGCAGTGAAATTGCAGGAAGAAAGAGTTTTTGATGGTGGTGAAGTGTAATCACTGGGGAGACAGATGAAAATTCTTCACTAATTACAATTTGGTCCAGGGGCAGAGCTACCCACACATGAAAAGCAAATCAATTCCTGTTTTGTGCTTCTGGTGGATAGAAAGAATGAAAAGCCATTTCATTACCCAGGAGCACAATCAAGGACTGACTGTAACCAGGCATAGGATGTAATAGGTAAGACTGACTGGAAGAATTTGTATGTATGAAGCCCAGGTGCCAGGGAAGGGCTAGGGCACATTGTCAGGATCTGTCAAGCAGTCCAGGTAACATTTGGATGGAGACAGGAAGGGCAAGGACCAGCATCTGATGCAGTGAGCTTCAGTTTAAGAGAAGAAAGTGTGTAGGAAATGGAAAAGTACCAGAAGACAGAAATGGGAGATAATAAGTATTGATGTCAGAGTGACTATTTCTAAAGGAAGGGAGGGAAGGCATAGGGGTGGGAGTTAAAGAAAAACACCAGGAAACCAGGGGATTAGTGAGAGGGAGTGGAGAAAAGAAACACATGGAGGCAAAGAGAAGTATACAGAGACACCATCGCAGAGATACAGAAGCAGGGGAAATGGGCAGAGCCAAGAGGAAAAGGTTAAGAAGTAGAACGAGAGGGGAGGAAAGAAGTAGTAGAATGAAGGTAGAGTAAGAAGGAGAGTGGAGGGAGGGAAAGAAGAATTTTGGTAGGATGCACAGAGCTGCCCTCTGTGAGGAAATTTGATCAGCTTTTGGTTACACACATGCAGGGAACAGACTGCGTGCCTTGAGTGAACTTAGCTTGCCAGATCTTCCAGTGCTCTTATTATGGGATTTCCACTGTGTGGGCTCCTTGGCCACATGCTGAGACCTCTAAGGGGCTTTGTTCCTTTGTGCAGTGATCAGCAGTGGGGACTCTGCAGAATCCAGTGAGGAGGGAGAACCCCCAGCAGCTTCCACCTCAGCACTGAGAAGTCAGCTTGGTAAGGAAGGTTGGGCTGCAGGAATCTAAATTAAGAGCGCCTGTTTCCTAATGTGTTTAATTGGAACCCATCCTGTTCAGTGGATCTGGTTTATCCTGGAATCCCTTTCTCTGTGTTTATTTTACCTGATCCTTTGGGAAATACAGGGAGAAAAGAAATCATTATAAATTTGTTTTTAGAATGATGCCTGTTAATTGATGGGGTCTGTTAATCAATGCAAAGGAAACCTGGCAGTACAGTGATTAAAGCACTCAGCTGCGAACTGGAAGGTTAGCGGCTCAAATCCACCAGCAGCTCTGAAGGAGAAAGATGTGGTAGTCTGCTCCCATAAAGATTGACAGCTTTGGAAACCCTATGGGGCAGTTGTACTCTGTCCTAATAGGTCAACTCAACAGCAATGAGTTTTTTTGGTTTAGTATCAATCAATATATATGTTCATATATTGATTTTATAGTAGAAATAGGAATCCCTAGGTGGTGCAAATGGTTAATGCACTCAGTTGCTAATCAAAAGGTTGGCAGTTCGAGTCCACCCAGAGGCACCTCTGAAGAAAGGCCTGGTGATTTGGAATACCAGCCATTGTATAGAGCACAGTTCTACTCTGACACATAGGGTTGCCATGAGTCAGAACTGCCTCCATGATAACTGGTTTGGCGGTTATAGTAGAAATATGTCAGCGAAATGATGAGGTTTTTTGTTGTTTTTTTAATGACTTGCTATGCCTATTAATACTGTAAAGTTTTGGATTTATAGGGTGGTTTTCGTACCCATTCTCCTTTAATGTTTTATAAAGAACAGAAAGATAAGTATTCCTCTACTGGAAGATCATATTATCATTTGATCACAAACTTTGAAAAATGCCAAAAAAAACAACAACTCATCCAGCTTTGTAATGGTAGCATAAACAAAGATTTTGAATCAGGTGTTGAAACTCAAAGTATAGCTTTTGACAGGATTCTTCAGCAGGTCATAACATATGTATAGTGATTTTTTCAAAGGATTTTTATAATTAATATCTTAATTTTTCCTTCACAACAACCTTATCCTCATAAGCAGAACAGATGATATTATCCCTGTTTTCTAGATGAAAAAACCCAATCACATAGATGTTTCAAAGTCTTCTACAATGTCTCATGGAGCATTAAAGGAAATGACAAGGCTCGTATCCTGTATTCAGAATTATTTCCATTGTAAAATGAGAAACAGAAATGATTATCAATGTCTCAATCCTATCTGCAGCATGATTTGTCATAAGATTTATAACTCTCTAGTACACAAACTGGTAATCTGTCTTCCCTTTTTACTTCCTAATCCAGAGATTAAAAGCATACCTGTTTTGGGAAAACACACTAGATAAAGACCTAAGAGCAAATAAAAATGTTGCCTGGTCTTAATATTACAAATGAACAATATTTTTTTAAATGCATTCATTCTAATTACTATATATTTCAAAGTAAAATATAAATTTGCTTCAGTCTTTAGACAGTGTACTTTCTAACTTTTGTCTTAGTGTAGGCAAACTGCTCTAAAAAATAGTCCCAAAATATGTATATGTCTCAAACACAAGAGAAGATCATTTCTCAGCCTCGTAAATAGTTCAAGTAGGTACCAGCTTGGTGGGGGTAGAGGGCTCTTGAGGTATTCCAGGCTGTGGAGGCTCTGGCATCTTCAACACAAAGGTTTCAAGGTCTCTCTGCAGAGATGAAAGAGATGTTAAACGGCAAGTAGGAAGGGTAAGGAGTAACCGAGAGAGAACTGCAGGAAGGCAAGGGTCCAACAAAGTCAAGTTGCCGTTATGGGTGAGTTGTCTCAGCGTTTGGGGAAAGAAAACGGAGCATCACCAAGGCAGGTGACCTTGGAAGTGTGACTTGGTTGTAGGCCTTGTATTTTCAAAGTCTTTCCAAGTTTTCTTATTGGGCAATTTCCTGCTGAACTTGTTCCTCGATCACACTCTGAGACCCCTAAAGAATCCTATTCTTTTGACTCCTTAGAATTAAGCGAGAGGGAAGAGCCCCAAGAAGCCACCTGCTCACAATCCCAGATGACACCAGGTAAGAATATTAGGATTGCAAGCTCTGCATTGCAAAATATCCAGAGTCTAAATTCAGAGCTCTGTTTTCCTAATGAATTTTATTCCGAGCATCCTCCACATCCCTTGATTCTGTAACTTCTAGGATAGCACTTTCCACAGTTAACTTCTCTGGCCCCTTTGGGAACCGGGAAGAGATAAGAAGGCATTATAAACTGTTGTTTAACTCGATGAGCCCAATCAATTGATACATTGAAAATTTAGTAAAAAAATACACTAGTAAAATGACAGTGTATTTTTTACTACACACTGTCATATCTGTTTCATCGCCCATCTGTCAGTTTGTTGTTCTGTGGTGGCTTGCAGGTTCCTATAATGTTGGAAACTATGCCACCAGTATTTCAAATATCAGCAAGGTCATCTATGGTGGACAGATTTCAGCAAAGCTTCCAGATTAAGATAGATTAGGAAGAAAGGCTTGGTGATCTACTTCTGAAAATTAGCCAATGGAAATCCTATGGATCACAACAGAATATTGTCTAATATGGTGCTGGAAGATAAGCCCCCTAGATTGGAAGGCACTCAAAATACACAGTAGCTTCAAAAATGGACTCGAGCATGCCAACAGTCATAAAGATGGCATAGGATCAGGAAACACTATTCTGTCATACATGGATTATCAATGAGTCAATAATGTACTTATTCCTCACCACTATCCTTTGTATTCTATAGAGCATAGTAAGCAGAGTATTCCCCTACTGGTTGATAATAGTGTCATTAGTCACAAATTTAGAAAGTCTTCAAAGAATAATTTGTGCTGATTTTTAATTACTGATGGCAAAAAAACAGCTTCGGAGAAACTACTCTCAAACCCAATTGTAGTTAAGCCACTGCCTTATCCTGTGATTTTTCATAGAGCATTTGTAAATACAGCTTCATTTTATCGTCACAAAAACCTTAACAGGTAACTAGGTTATCCCTGGTTGATAGATGAGGAAACTGGAGCTAGTAATGTTTAAGAGTGATTTACAAATTCATATGGTTAGTTAAAGGAAGAACCTGGCAGGATTCCAGCTGTGCCCTTGGACCACCAGAACTGGATTCAGTAGAACACCATTATGATCACAAGCCCATCTGCAGTGTGAGTTGCCATAGAATTTATAAGTCTTTAGTGTACAAATAACTGTTTTCTCCCCTTTACTTATAGAGCCCATGGATTTCAGAAAATCACCCATATTCAGAAAAAGAGGTAAGAGAGAATAAGAACTCTTAAGTTTACAAATGAACATTGTTTTCTACAAAATATTCATTCTAATTCTTTGCTATGTCCTTCAAAGTAAAATATAAGTTTGTTTTAGTTTTAGGTGGCTCATATTTTAACTTTCGTGTTAGGTAAGCGTCCCTGGGTGGCACAAACAGCCCAGCACTCAACTACTAACCGAAAGGCAAATCCACCCAGAGGCACCTGGGAAGAAAAGCCTGGCCATCTATTTCTGAAAGATCACAGCCATTGAAAACCCTACAGAGCACAGTTCTACCCCGAAACACATGAGGTTGCCATGAGTTGGAACCGATTTGAAGGCAACTGGTTTTATGAGTTAGGTGGGCTTACTGCTATAGCATATAAACCGAGAGAAGTAAATGACCCAAACATAATAGAAATTTTTTTTTCTCAAGTAAACATTCCAAGGATGTTTAGAATGGGGAGGGGTGAGGCTCTGTAAAAACGGCTTGGGGGCAATGTCTGACCTCCTCCAACCCCGCAAGGGAGAAGGAGAACCAAGATCAATAGCACAAGGCTGATTCCCATGAGGTGAAGTCCAGACAACTCCTCTCTCCACCATCTTTACCAACTCTGACACCAACCATCCCTCCCATAGCACTCTCTACCTCTCACTGGGTTCGATAATTCATTGCAATGGCCACATAGAACTCACAGACCATACTCACGATTATGCGGTTTATTAGGGAAGTAACGGGTTACAATTCAGGCTGAGGAACACTTGAGGATACAGTTCTTCCATCAGGACATCCTCTTTCCAGCTGTGCTTGCAGGCACGCCTCTCCCTGGCCCCAGACCTCTCCTCAAAGGCACTCAGCTTTCTCCCTCCGTCCATGGGCTGGAAGCCCGCTGCCCCATTTCCTGCTGCTGGTCTCTGCTGCCACCGCTTCTTGCCATCTTCCAGGTTACAGCTTGCTCTCTCTGTCTCTCTGTCTCTCTGTCTCTCTCAGTCTCCTGCTTCCAGGAGCTTCTCAGCACAGGGATCCTGGGTCCAAAGGATGTGCTCTCTGCTCCTGGCTGTTCTTCCGTGGTGGTGATAGGATCCTCCTCTCTGCTCTGGAATTGGCTCTCTTTTAAGGCAAAACTGACCAGTCCACTTGGTAGGCCACAGTTACCCTATCACACAGTCCCACCCAATCACCTGGGTGGAAGTTACAAGACCACGGCTAGAAAAGCCACACAAAAGCAATCAATTATACCGCAGGCTCTGTTTCAAGTAGCCAGGGAAGCAGCTAAGTGAGAACCTGCTGTCTTCAATAACAGACTTCCAAGGTAGCCCAGGAAGAAAAGCAAAGATATAAATAAAGAGATACAATAACAGTAAACAAACAAACACAAAATCTATAAAGGGACCGGCAAACGAAGAAATTGAATAAGGTCTGAGAAGAATGAGGGTCAAGACGAAGCAAAGATGCCCACTGTGGGTGAATTTTTTTTTTAGCCTCACACTTAAGAGATGTTATTGTTGTTACTTGCCGTCGATTCATGGTGACCTTATGTACAACAAAACAAAACATTGCCTGGTCCTGCATCATCCTCACAATCACCAGAATGTTCAAGTCCACTGTCGCAGCTGTTGTGCCGGTCTATCTCATCTAGGATCTCCCTCATCCTCACCGGCCCTCTACTTTATCAAACATGATGTCCTCCTCTAGCGATTCATCCCTCCTGATGACTCTCCAAAGCAAGCAAGTCAGACAGTGGTCTGCTGTGATCCATAAGGTTTTCGTTGGCTGATTTTCAGAAGTAGATCACAAGGCCTTTCTTCCTAGTCTATCTTAGTCTGGAAGCTCTGCTGAAACCTGTCCACTCTGGATGGCCCTGCCGGTATTTGAAATACCAGTGGCATAGCTTCCAGCATCACACCCACACACAAGCCACCATAGTACAACACAATGACAGACGGATGGTGGACTCAAGAGATAGTGAGGGATAAAACGCTAACCTATAGGTTACATGAATTCAAAAGGCAAGTCATGGAGGTTTGAGGACAGAGATAGTTTTGTGTCAAATTTCAGAGCCTTCCAAGTTTTTTTTCCTAGTTGTCTTTTTATAGGATTTGCTTCTGTCTTGGTTTCTTTGTCATACGCTGAGACCTCCAAGGGACATTTGCTCTTTTCTGCAGTTGTAAGCTACAATAGCTCTTCAGAATCCAGTGAGGATGAAGTGCACTGGAAAGCCCAGCGCCTAGTGTTCAGCAGTGGGCCCAGTGAGGAAGGTAAGGACTGGCAGCCCTGGTTCCAGGACAGACGTCAGGGTCCACATTCAGAGTTGGTGTTTCGTGATGCATTTCACCCTGAGCGCATCCACAGGCAATGGTCTAGTTAACCCCAGTAACTCATTCTCTGCATTTACCTCATCTGGCCCTTTTGGCAAACGCAAAGAAAGTAATCATTGTAAATTCAGGTGTAACAAGATGGCTCTAGACGAGTGACTGCGTCCTTTTTACTATACATCATCAGAACTATTAATCTCAAAGTATTAGATTTATGTAGTGACTTCCACCCCTGCCCACCCCCTATTTTGTAGAGAGCAGAGAAAGCAGGGTAGTCTGCTGCTCTTGCTTGATTTTGGTACAAAGTTGCTCAAAACGCAAAAAAGCCTGGTCATTACTCTCTAATTATTGGCAGAAAGAAAGGCTTCAGGTTATTACCATCAACTTCAATCTACAGCTTTTGACAAATGACTCACAACATGACAATGGCCAATATAGTGATATTTTAAAATAGCTTAGCAAATACAATCCCCTTTTATCTTTACAACAACTTTGAAAAGTTGGCAAGATACGTGCTGTGTCCCCTGTTTCACAAGTCAGGAAACTCCAGCAGGTAAACTTTGAAGGATCTTTTCCATATCACATAGCGAAAATTACAGGAAGAGGCAGGGCTAACCACCTGGACTCTTAGCAAAGAGTTACAGTTCTTTATTTATCATATGAGGGCAGATCTGTTCCAGACTTCAAAAAGGTTTTATTTGAGAAAGCTGATGTGACTTATACCATATATATTACAGAACACTCCAGCAGAGTCTGGGAAAGAATCCCAATTTCACATATACTATATTAATGTTTCTATAGCAACTTGTGTGACTATTCACACCAAGTGCGATAGATAAAGATTTTGCACGGTCTCATGTCAGCTCAAGTCCACATTTGCTGCCAAATTCATTAGCTGCAAACCTATAAAAAATATATATTGTTTTCAGAACTTCTGTGAGTTTGCAGTTAGGGCTAAAAGATGGTGAGTCTGGGTTCTGTTCAGTAGTGTTCTCTTCCTTTAGATGGGAAGAGACAGAAAGGACCATCAAAGCAGCTTTCTGATCTCAATCCTGTCTGCCTCATGAGTAATCGTAGGATTTATACCCCTTTTAGTTATTGATTACTTGTTTGTTTTCCTTCACTTTCAAGATCCTGCGCATACTGGAAACAAGCCTATTTGGGGGAAACATTATAAAATAAGACATAAGAGCAATTAAAAATTCTTGATGTAACAAATAAATGCCTTTTTTCTTTTTGCTACAAAAGCTTCGTTCGAATTATTTTATATCCTTTAAAATAAAATATATATTTATGGGATTTTAGATGATTCCCCTTACAGATTTTGAATTAGGTGAGTTGGGCTAACTGGGGTAGCATGGAGGCCCCAAAATGCTTACCAGCACAGAGGCAATACAGGTTTATTCCCCACTCACATCAAAGGGATAAAGTAGTTTCTGAGGTGCGGGGGGGGGGTGCTCTGCTCCACACAATCATTTAGGGCCCAGCTGATGGAGGCTCTGACCCGTCCTTATGGGTGAGAAACAGGCAGAAGCAGAAGTGTGTGCAAACACATGGGAACAGGAAGACGTGTAAGGAAGTGGCGGGTGACTAAAGGGAGTGACTGTCCCCAGACCCAGGTCAGATGAAGCCTAAGGATGACTATTGGTGGGAATATTCCTACTCCTACACCAGCTTCCCTTTTCCCATTTTCCTTCTAAAGAATATCCTGCTGGATTGGTTCCTGGGACACAGGCCGAAACCATTAAGGAATTTTATCTCTTTCTGCAGACATCAGCAGTGATGACTCTGTAGAACCGAGTAGTGAAGAAGGGCCCCAGGAAGCCTCGCCCTCGGTACCAAGAAGTGCGTTAGGTAAAGAAAATTAAGATGCCAAAGCCTTGACCAACAGGATGTTGGAAATCTGCATTAAAAGCTACTGTTTCCAAACGCCCTTTGTTCTGAACACCTTAACTGCCCTGCATCCAGTTAATCCTGGAAACTCCTTCTCAGCATTGAGCTTTCGTTGTCCTTTTAGGAAATGGACGGAGGCAGGAAATTATTATAAACTTATGTTTAACAGGATGAGTTCTGTTGGTTAAATGTATGTAATTATATATGTTGCCATTGTGGCAGAAATAAACAGTAAAGTGTTGGTATCTTTTTTAATACCGACTGCCATGTCTGTTAACACTAAGATCTTCTTGTCGGCTACCATAAAGTTGGCCCCTGACTCACGGCAACCCCATGGGTTACAGAGTAGAGCTGCTCCTTAGGGTTTTCTTGGCTGTAATCTTGACAGAAGCAGTTCAGCAGGCCTTTTCTTCCAAGGAGCCACGGCGTGGGTTCGACCTACCAACCTTTAGGTTAGCAGCTGATTGCAGACCACTTGTGCCAGCTTAAATTTCTAGAATGATATATTGGTTGATATTAATGTCAATTGGTCACAAAATTGTAAAAACCTCAAAAGGTAACTGTTCCTGCTATGTAAATATATAGTCAGAAATAAAAGCTCCAAATCAACCATCCTCAAACTTTAATCTAGTTTTTAACAGCTGTCCTTCACCATGTAATTGGATCATATTGTGATATTTCCAAGTATTTTGGAAAATAAAATCTTGTTTTGTCATTGCAAAATTCTTAAGACTTAGCCAGACCAACTGTTACTATCTCTATTTTATGGACAAGGAAATAGATGCACAAATGTGTAAGGGTCAAAGAACTAAAGTAACAGAAACTAAAGGGATTAGCAACCCCGGTGTCTCAGTGGGTGTGACCGTTGTATGTAATAAGCGGGACGATAAGAGCTGTGTCATGTGATCCAAAGAGGAGGTTCAAGGGACCTGGTATATTCACAAGGGTCGCCAGGGAATGCACCAGTGCTGAATGCAAGAAGACCTACTTAAGTATATATATACGTGTGTGTGTGTGTATGTGTGTGTGTGTGTGTGTGTGTGTGTGGAGAGGGAAAAGAAAATCATGAAGAAACAGAGAGGGTAGAAATGAGAAATGAAGCCAGCTATATGGTATACAACATACTTAGAAGGATAGATTCGGAAAGTAGGAATAGTGAAATAAAGGGAAACAGAGATTAACGGCATCATTGAGGAAAAAAGAGAAAGCAACATAGGAGATAAGAGGAGTCAGGGAGAGAGAAGCTCACAGAATAAAAAAAAAATGCACAAATATCTTCAGGGGATGGATGGATGGATGGATGGATGGATGGTTGGATGGATGGATGGGAGAGAGAGGTATACAGGCAGGACAATACACAGAAAAATTAGAAATAAGGAGGAGAATGAGGTGTGACCAGGTAGAAAAAGAGACACAGCAAATCTTTGTTAGAACTGAGCTATAGTCCTTGGAGTAGGTACAGTTTTTTTTCAAGGATCAGCTCACCTGAGCTCTGAATGTAGGGGTTCAGCATGACCACACTGGGGTTTGTTCCTTGGTCACCATCTATAGTCTATTATTTCTCTATTTCTCTTCAGTGTGCGTGAATCCAAATGCTTAGAGGAGGAGAATCAGAAGAGATGCCCAGCCTGTTAGCATGTGATGGAGAAGCCCATTATGATATTAATTACCAACTACCTTTCTTTTCCCGTCTGTGTGGAGGAAAAGCTCTTCCTTCTTTTCCTTAAAACATACGTATGTGCACGCACACACACACACACACACACACAGTCTTGTGCACAGCTTCTGACTACTTTCAGCAGGTTTAAGGGAGCCAAGAGAGAAAGAAGAGCTGGGTTCCTGAATGGAGGGTGGCGACGCCGAGTAGACAATGTAAGGAGAAAGGTTGGGTCACCAAATGAAAGTTATCTGAGTAAGTCTCAAGTTTTCCTAAGTGGAAATCCAAATATCACCAGACTGGGGCATTTTATGGGGAAAGGAATGGTTTTCAAGGTGCTTCTCAGAAGTTGTAGGAGAAACATGGAAATAAGATCTGTGGCTTATGGACAGACTTGTAGTATAGAAAGTTCATAGGGAACTGGCAAAGAGAATAGAGTTGACTATGTGGTCAATGTCAAAAGAGCTGGCATTTGGTGATGATGGCAGTAATAATCTGTGAGAGGCGTCACCCTGAAGACTAAGGAAAATAGAAGGACACTGGGTTTTACGTAGGAAAATGGCACAAACATATTTGCGTTTCTGGAAGATTTAGCTATATTACAGAGAATACATTTGGTGGGAACAAGATTAGAAGGAGGAGGCCAAACAGGAAGCTGTTACGCTAGTTCAAGTGATACATGATAGAGATCTGGATTAGAGATAGTGATAACATTGAGGATGGGGAGAAATGGACAGGTTGGAAATATTTATAAGGAAGAATGGACAGAGCTAGTGGATAGATGGGGCATATAGACTGAGGAAAAGGCAGTGTTATGGATGACTCCTAGAATTTCAACTTGAGAAAATGGGACAATTAATAGTGTGTTTTTTAGAGACAAGGAGCCCTAGTGGTGCAATGGTTAAGTGCTTGGCTGCTAACCAAAATGTTAGGGGTTTAAATCCACCTAGTGGCTCTGTGGGAGAAAGACATGGCAATCCACTTCCATTAAGATTACAGTCAAGAAAATCTTATGGGAGCAGTTCTACTCTGTCACGAGTTTGCTATGAGTTGGCATTGACTCGACAGCTCCACCACCACCACCACCATTTTTAGAGACAGAGAACATGGAGTAGCAGACACTGGTTTTAGGGAAGAAGATGATGTGCTCAGTTTTGGAAGTGCTGAGTTTGAAGTTTGAAGTTCTTGATAGGCATCCATGTGGAGACGTTCTTCCAGACTTTGGACAGAGGGAAAGAGGTATTCTGATGCTCAGATGAATGAGTTTAGAAAACAAGACTGGGCTGGAGAAGTGTGTTTGGGAATCATTAGGTTGTGGATGGTGATTGAAGCCACAGGAGTGGGTGAAGTTCCTGAGGAGAGACTTCTTGCAATCTGCGTGAGGTGCAGGGTCCACTTTGAGACCTGGGGACACTTTACTCTGAAAATTCATTGCTATGGTGAATGACCTCTTCTTGTCAAAGTTGCTCCTGGCCCATGGTCATCTCAGATCTCACAATTTCTCCATCTCTCTCTTCTCTCCCTTTTACACTGCTCCCCTTTTCTACCATTTTTTACTTCATCTTTTAACTTTTTTTCTACATTGTTTTCTTTGTGCCTCGCCTCTAAGTTTTTACTCCTCTTTACTTATTACCCCCTGTATGTATCTCACTCCATCTATTTTTTCTATGCTTTTATCTCTGTATCTTATTCTATTATTGAGGTAGTCTTCCTTCTTGTTACCTCCTTTTCTGTTTCTAGCTTTCTTTCTCTTCATCTTATCTTGATCTTTGGCTGTTGCTAGAGTTTTTGCTTTTCTCTTTATTTTCTTCATCTATATGCAGCGTCAAGGAGCCCTGTTACTAGAGTAACAGCCTCCTGTTTAGCCTCCTCCTTCTAATCTTGTTCCTACCAAATGTATTCTCTGTAATATAGCTAAATCTTCCAAAAACGCAAATATGTTTGTGTTGTTTTCTACATAAAATCCAATGTCCTTCTATTTTCCTTAGGATTAAGTCAATTCTTCTTCATGTGGCCTCCAAAGCACCTTCCTCAAGCCTCCTACCTCCTTCTCCAGCTTCATCATTGCCCCTAACTCTCTCAGTCCATGTTCAGACCTACTAAACTTTTGGTTACTTGAATTTGCTGAATTTAGACCTTTGCACAGGCTTTTCCTTCTATTTGGGACTAATGTCTTGGCTCCCTTCCTCCCTCATCTGGCCAACTCCTACTTCCAGGATACTTCCTCTGGAAGGTGCACCTCATCCCAAACTTGGCTAGTTCTTTCCTGCCTAATGATACTGGAGCATCCTTACTATCCTAACACTCTTCATGTTGTGATATATTCACTCACTTATATGTCAATGTCCTGGTTGACCATAAGACTGGCAAACACGAACACTTCAGGAGTCTTGTGTCCTGAACTATCATCAGCACCCATCCCAGAACCTGGCACATGGGAGGAGATGCATAAATGCTTGTTGAGTGAGTGGATAAAATTGCTTACTTTCTGTATTTTAATGCTTGGAAACTTGTTTTGGAAAAAGTTAAGTTTATTATGGTATTTGTATGGAATACAATGGCAGACTATTAAAACATTTTCTTATTATACTTTAGATGAAGGTTTACAGAACAAATAGTTTCTCATTAAACAGATAGTACACATATTGTTTTATGACAATGGTTAACAACCCCAGGACATGTCAACATTATCCCTTCTCAAACTTGGGTTGCCTATTACCAGCTTTCCTGTCCCCTCCTGCCTTCTAGTCCTTGTCCCTGGACTGTTGTGCCCCATTAGTCTCACTTTGTTTTATGCAGCAGCCTAATCTTTGGCTGAATGGTGAACTGCGG